GAGAGAGAGAGAGAGAGAGAGAGAGAGAGAGAGAGAGAGAGAGAGAGAGAGAGAGAGAGAGAGAGAGAGAGAGAGAGAGAGAGAGAGCTGACCTGATAACCCCAGGAGACAAAATTTGGCGACAACGTGATTATCTTCCTCTCTGGATGGAGGCGGCGCAGCCTCACAAAAGCGTCTTTCCACCACCTGCGGGCAGTCTCTCGTCAGTTCTGCCATTTTTAACAATTGATTGCGAATTGCCGTTTCATGTGTCACCAGATTGACAACCATGTATGTGCATGGGCGTTTCGGCCAATGTGACTTACAGTACATATTAGACAGCTTGTAATATGATGCAGATGGATGGATGTGTGTGTGCGTGTGTGTGTGTACACTACACAACACACACAGACACATGGCTGTGTCGGAGGCCCGAAACAAAAAGCCGGCCGTTGATTTGAGTGTATCAACGGCAGGCCTCCCCCGCTTGGCTGCCGCGTTACCCGGCGGGTCTTAGATTTCAAGCGGGAAAAGGTACTGGTGGTTTAAGTCTCTAGAAGTCAGCTGAAACAGTCATCTTGTGAGTACTAAGCCCTTCTTCTTTGCATGGAAGCCGCCTGGTTGCAGGCCATTTGTGTATGTCATCCATCTGCTGGGGCTGTCATCCGCTTGTTAGGCCAGGATCTGGCAGGGGACCATGTCATGTGGGAGATGGTTTCAACCAACAGCACCTCTCTCTCTCTCTCTCTCTCTCTCTCTCTCTCTCTCTCTCTCTCTCTCTCTCTCTCTCTCTCTCTCTCTCTCTCTTCGTCCTGATCCTGATTTCTGCGGCGCACCGAGTTTCGTCGAACCGGCGGGGGCACAAAATCAGTCGCTTATGAGCTGGCACCTCCGACCTTTTCATTTTGGTAGGCCTAACCCTAACCCCGGGAAATCAAGGTTGTACACAGACACATCGGAGGAAAATTGCCGGGAGAGGTACTGGCGGCTTAAGGATGTCGCTGGTAGTGAAGAACTTGCAAAACCGCTTAGTACAAAGATGCACTTTCAGTAACATTTTCAGGGTGCGAAAGATGCTTTACCCAAAAAGGTCCCAAATGCATTTTCACACTAACATTCTAGCAGTCTACCTTTCTAGGGCTAACTAGAAGGTGACCAATGGTGATAGGATTCTGCGCTCTCAGAAAGTAGAATGTTACCTATTCAGCAGCTGCAGTCTTGCAGGCTGTATACTATGGTGCCCTCTGTTTACACTAGGGGGGGGCCTATCGGGTGATTTTTGTGTCCCTTGGCTCTAAACTGTGTCCCTTGGCTCTAAACCCATTTTCAGAACTACCATCTTCACCCGAACAGAACGCCCGGTCAGTATGGCTGTATTTGGCACAACTTTCGGCCCAGATACGACGATAATTACCGGGTGTTCTATTCGGGTGAAGACGGTAGGAAAGGAGGGGGTGGCAAAAAAAGGTATCTCAGAAGGGGAGGGTGTAGGGGTAGTCAGATGGTTTCAGTTTCGTGCCCATAGGATCTGATCTTTTTTTTTTTTTTTTTTTTTTTTTTTTTTTTTTTTTTTTTTTTGTACCATTTCTCGATTTATGCATGTCATCCTTGCGCAGGGGCCATGCTAATCTTCTCTGTATCGTTCCAATTTTAACTGATGTCCCGAAGGACTGATTTTTTTTTTTTTTTTTTTTTTTTTCGGATCTGAAAATTTTGGGTATGTCCTGATCGGCTAGTTGGGAAAAGTTTTTGGAGTCGTTTTTTGGAAAAATAATTTTGGAAAAGAGAATTGGGAAGAATGGGCCAGCCTTCCAGGCCGCGCTGCTACTTTGTGTGTTTTTTTGGGCACCGGTCCCCGTACCGGTGTGCACAGGATCAGGATGACGGTGGCGGTTTTTTTTGGGACACGGGTGGGCCATACTGGGGCAGTCGAAGTGAAGGTTTCACGGGGACTGCAATCCAGTCCGAACGAAGGCACACGCGGGCAGCATGGGGATTGAGCGCAGATATATGGCGCAAGATCGATGTGCCAACCCTCCACTGTGAACCTGCTGCGCAGACCGCTGCTGCAGTCTTCCTCCCTTGTACCGTGATCTGTGTAGCTAGCAGCATCTTCTTCTGCGCTTTTACCATGGCAACCTGGAGCAGAAAGGGCGCTGGCCGAGTGAACGACCAGATGTTTCGAGGAGATGACAAGGTCGTGATGGTGGGTTATGTGATGAGGAGAACGAGGGAGAGAGGTAAGGGGGGGGGGATTGACTCGTCTCTATCTCTATACCACTAAAAGAAACAGCGGTCCTCGCGTGGGGCCCAACAGAAACCGGCGGCCGCCGCGCGGGACTGCTGTCGGGCAGTGGGCACGGGGGAACCGACGGCGAGCCGGTGTCGGGAAGCGCCCGCAGCGGAAAAGGGCGACCCCGGGCCCGACAATGGGAGCACATACATTGCCACTTTTTTGCTTAGCGACCCGTCCGCCGCGCGGGACCGCGGTCGGGCGGCCGGCAAGGGGGAACGAAAAAGGGCGACCCCGGGCCCCAGAACGCAAGTACATACATTGCCACTTTTTGGTTTCGCGACCCATCAGGCGGTTCTTTCCAGAAGGGTCGTGAGCCGCTTTCTGCGGATGCGAATCCATCGCCGGAAGGAGGGAAAATACATTGCCATGTTTTGTTTTTGTGATATCGTGACCGACCCGTCGGGAGGTTAGAGAGAGAGAGAGAGAGAGAGAGAGAGAGAGAGAGAGAGAGAGAGAGAGAG